GTTTTAAAATTTAATATATTCTGACCACAGCATCACATGTTTTAAAACGGTGAAAAATGTTTTTTTACCATCCCTAGCTGGCTTAGATAGATGATCAAAAACCATGGCTAAGCGACTTACAGTTAACCGAGCCATGTCTACATACCTACGTACATACGTACCTGGATTGATTGTCTGTAAACGTTAAAGCAGAGATTTTCAATCACCTCGATTAGGTTAGTTATTACTTTTGATAAACTCTCGTCTTTGGTATAAAATTCTTGTGCCGTAAAAGAATTTACATTTAGAAATCTAATAACGTGAAAAATTAGCTAGTGATTTAGAATTCTGTCTGATCTCAAATGTTACTACGTACGTATCGTTTAATGTTAGTTGCTTTAACAGTAATTTACAGTAACTGTGTTGAGAATTGTATCTATTCATATTCTATATCTATATTCTATATCTATATTTTATATCTATATTCTATATCTATATTCTATATCTATATTCTATATCTATATTCTATATCTATATTCTACATCTATATTCTATATCTATATTCTATGTCTATATTATTTTAAAAATTGGATTGTGGTCTCATCCTTGAAATTAAATTCAATAAAAATAAACAAAGTTAGACTTCACTATTCAAATCGGATTTTATATAGGTTCAAGTCCCAAAGTCAGGCAAGTGCTTGACTCTCTGTCAAGTATTTGAGCAAGATATTTCTGGCACCATTAATACCTTGATCCATCTCCACATATCACACTGATCACATCTAAAAACCTTTGATTCTCCAAGATTACTCTTTATAAATTCACATTTTTCACATATCTTTGAAGTATATTCTTCAGTACATTCGATAATTTTGCAATCTTTGAATTCTTTTGTCTTGTGTTGTAAAAAGGTTCTAAATCAAAAATATGATTACATAAACATCATTCTGGTAATTTGTGATTTAATTTTTTTTTATCTTGTAAATCATTCTGAAAGTTTGAAATCTTAGTAATAAAATGATTTTATAATTTTTATATAATTATCTAGCAAGTTGGTAATAGTACAGTATTTGTTTACCAATATATATATTTATTGTATGATTCTTAATACTTTTTTCTCAAATAAAATCTCTTTCTCTTGTTTGTTTATCTCAAAACAAGATCTTTCTCTTGTTTGTTTATCTCAAAACAAGATCTTTATCATTTTGTAATTTATTATATTTTTTAGATAGTTTGAATATTTTATTAAGATTACTATTATATTATTTGATTATTTTACTATCAAAATTATAACCCATTATAAATATATAAATACCAGGATTAAGTGAAATGAATCGACCAGGGTGGCCTCTCAAAGTGCAAATAAAT